GAAAATTGATAAGAATGGAAAAATAATATTTAAAAAAATATGCTTGTATTAAAATCAGCTGAAGAACTGAGATTTCACGAAGCAAAAAAAATTGAGATTTCGAATATTGACTTGCAAATGATCAGTTTTTTTCTTTTTTAATTTGAAAATTTTGAGAAATTTTTTTATCAATTTTAGAAAATTTATGAAATTAAGCGGTTTATAAAAAGTGAAACTGAATAGTTGGAGAACAAAGAGAACTCTTCGTTTTTGTTTTTTATTGCTTACGTCTCTTAGTCTCATGGGACAATCGGGCCAAAAACCAAAAAATATTTCCGTATATGTTCATGTAGTCCTTTGAGAATTCACTCCTTAGAACAAAACAGAAAGGAAGATGGAAGTAGTTTTAGGTTAGATTAGAAAATTCACTCTTGAATATGCTTGCAGCTATAAATGAATAAATGAATGAATGGCCAAGTTTTTGGTAAAGCTGTTGAAGATTTGGAATAAAATTTTTTGTTTTGGTTAAAAACCAAAGATTGCATTTGCTAGCCATTTTTGAATCATGATGAAAAGCAGAAAAATCCTAATGAGATATACTATTCTTCTTGTATCTGAGCTCACAAGCTGCTATTTCAAATTATACATTTTTGTTTTTAAAATATCTAAAAGTCTCTGAAAATAAAACCAAATTCAAATCCAAAAAAGGAAGCGTATTTGCAAATTTAAATTCGTATAGCTACTATGTAAATTATACGGTTACGTTTACAAATTTTGTAGAAAAAAGGCATTTTGGGTTGAATTTTTGAAAAATCCATTCCAAAATGATTTTCATTAATTTGAGAAAAATTGAGAAAATTCTAAAAAATGCTACAATATTTTAAATTAATCTATAGTTGATAAATTATTTTTATTAGTAGCACTATAATATCTATGTCAGTAAAAACAAGGTGTTGAAAGTTGTGTTTCAGATTTACCTAAATTATCAAACGAATATGGAACTTTTTGACGTGTAACTGAACTATGTAAGTGCAAGACACTTAATTTGGGTATGTGAAATCATTTAAAAATTTAATTTTTACAAGACAACAATTTTACTGAGCTCAAAAAAATGAAGGAAATTAAAATTTTAGGATTAATAAGCTTAAGTGATAACGCATTTATAGATACGCTGCCAATTGATTCAAGCGATCACAAAAAGAGTTCACCAGTGAGTCGTTGAGCAAGAATAAGAGCGTCGTGAGCAAAAATAGTTTTCACTTAAAATTGCTAACAATTTATAAAAAGCAAAGTTGTTAAATGTAACTTCTAATTTATGTTTGTTATGCTGATTGAATGAATAATAAGCGATAGCAGTAAGAAACGAAAATTGAAATGATGATGTAATTAAGTTTTTTATGTTTGTCGTTTTGAAAGGAAATAAATGTTCCGAGTAAAGGAATATCAACAATGAACAATATAAGTAAATAAATTATTATAAAACAAGGTAATTGATCTCATTAGCTCAGAAATCGCTAATTAGCGTATAAATTTGCTTTATGCAGATGCTAAACTGATACAAAAACTCAGACTCAGTGATCAGATATTAACATTTGATTTTGGTTCATGGTCAAAAACTTAAAATGAACTTTTCCTAACTTGAGTCTATATTTGAATTAAGATTAGGTCTCTAATCTGTATGCAATAATTTCTTTTCTATACATTGTAGTAAATTCACTTTTAACACAAATCACACTCATCGAAATAATAGCAATTAGAAATTAGTTCGTGATTTGTGAAAGAAGGCTACAATGGTTGTAGCTAGATTACTGCCGAGTTTAAAGTTTAGTAATTCATAAATCATATCATGCAAAATTTTTTGCCTTGAACGATGCCAAAATTAATAATTAGACTTGCTTTTGTAATACATATACGTAATACATATTAATACATATAACTCTTTGTTTCCTTTCATTGAACTCTCAAAATACCGATTTCCTTAAAAATTAAGTAAATTGGGAAATTCACGCAATATTTAAACATTTAAAAACCAAAAATAGACATTTACTAGTTAGAGAGAAATAATGAGATAAATAATATATTTTTGCAGGATTATAATATATCACATGGCCTAATGAAATATATCACGTTGAAGATGAAAAAGTTGATAGCTTGTTTTTAATTTCTAGCGGAATGAGCTGGTTCGTTGAAATAAAACGATGAGATTGGTACGTTAATATTGTTTACTAAAACTTGCTTGATATTTGATAGCGAGGCTAGTCTAATGATAATTAATGAACAAATCCTAATTGATGACTAAACATAAAAAGCTAGCTTATTACATGTAAGTCATTATTTGAATGATGGAAGAATATCGGAAAATCCTTCCATTGTTGGTAGACATTTTTAACTTGAACAACTTTTCAAAGCCTTAAAAATAAACAGAGTGATGAGTGATGTATTTGCACTTATATAAACAATGGTGTGTACTTTTTATAAATACTGCAAAAAATTTGCGTAATTTAAGTTGAGCTAAACACAGAAGGTTGAAAAAACTGCAAAAACTAAAAACATATAAACTTTGTTCCGACTAATACCTGCGATACATTTATGCTGGGTAAAAATGGTGAACTGTCGATGCAGCAAAACCTAAAAAATGTCACTGTTAGCCGAAATGAGCACTTCTTACTTTTTGCTTCACAAGCACAGTATAATTCAACAACAATATTAAACGTGTCATTTTAGTTCTGAATCTCATTACTTGAAATGATTAAGATGGTTGGATAACTGTAATTGACAAGTGCCAAACACTATAGAAAACCACTCATCTGATCTCCCATGTAATACCATCAAACAATATATGCCAACACCATGTATAAGAAATAATTTAGTACTGAATGCTAACTCATATTGAGATCTCTTAAAGCTGAAAGAACAAATATTAACTAATTTGATCCCTTATTTCTTCATTAATAGAGTAAACTTGAATACGTTAATCTAAAAAAATCATCTGGCTTAATTTCATATTTAACTACTACTTGTTCTTCAATTACTGCCAATCTTCAACAGCTTAATCCAGTTCCACTTTTCGCTTCAGTCACCAACAAAAATATTGGATTATCACATTTTTAGCTTAAAATGAATGAAAAATAGATTTGAGACAAAAACGAATTTGATGCTGACATGTTTTATTTTCATTACTTGAAATAAATACATCAGCACAATGAGCAAATTTGCTTTTTGACATCTGATGGAAGAACAAGACTGATAGAATAAGCTATACTGGCTGCAGCAGTATAGCTTCAAAACATGACAGTTGAAACTCTTTCACAATTTACAATATAATTAGACTGTCATGATAATAGTTTATAATGGAATCCATTATGGCACCATTATTGAGAAGTATCCTAATCTAAATATTGCTTAAACCATAATTTTTTTTTGGATATTGTGTTGAGTTTGGCCAGTTACTATGGAATTCATTGTCTGTTTTGGCACTTTCTGAAAGTGAAGAAGTTAGTGAATTTTGAACTTTAGAAATTTTTCGAAAAACAAGATTTTTACAGTTATGAGTTTGAAGTGAAATTTACTAAAACGTCAATTAACATTTTAGTAATAAGTTGGAAACTTATTATTTCATATAATAAATTTTTACTTCACTTCTGAACTTGTTCAAGTTAACAGTTTTTTAGTAAATTCCTTGTTTTTACTAGCCTAATAACTTAAGGTAATACACTACAAAAAGTATGGGATAATATTTCTATATAAGCCCGTATCGAAATGAATATCTTGAAAACTGTAAAACATTCCTTAACTTTGTTTCAAATTATCAGGCCAGTAACACTGTTTTGGGAGCTATTTCCTCAAATTCTTTTTACTCTGAAGAGACTAAAATTTGTTTATCAAAAATTTTTTTCTATAATTTTTATGTAATCTTAATTTTTAAGTAGATAAAATTGCTGATTTCAGATGGCACTTGAAATCTATGTATTTGAAAATGTGAAGTTGAAATCCTTCTAATTAAAATTTTTCAGCTTTTTTAGACGAGAACTTTTTCTTAGTTCATTATTGCTTTCTCACGTTTTTTAAGGTAAATTCTTAAATTCTAAATATGTAGGAGAAATAATGTTATTCATTCTTGATGAAATTTCTACTTTTTTCAAAGAATTAAATTTCACTTAACTGAAAAAATTTTAATGCTTCGAATTTTTCCAAATTTCAAATATGGTAGAAAAGCCTGTCAACAACTTGAAATATGATAATAGTATTTTTAATTGTTAAAAACCCTGTTTAAAAAATGTGAAGCTTTCCACATATACAAAAATTTTTGAGAAAATCGAAAGCAAACGTTCGAAAATTTTCCCATTCGAAAGGTGAGTCTTCTTTGCATTTCATCAGTACAGCTGTTTTGAACATTGAATACAAAGTGTCATAATTTGGCATAGTAGTGGTATTTAGAGATGTAATGTACTGGAAGGACATAATTTATTTCAACTATTAATGTATAATTTCAGTGAAATTCGATAATAAATTGAAGAAAGTAAAGTTGGAGGCTAAATTACAGTAGCTTACTGTATGCATAAATGAAATAATTATTTTAATCACTGTAATACTATACTAATGAAATTGTGTACAGTCCTGTGAAATTTATTCAATTTTCATTTTCAAAAATTATGAGACAAGTTTATCAAACGCACAAAAATTAATGACAGTAAAACCTATCAGTCTTTTGAAATTAACCTTGACGAATTCCAAAGAGGTTTTTGGATGATTCTTGCACAAGCTTTCTAAACCTTCCTTTTTTTTGGAAATTTCAATATCCTTGATAGATTTGAAATTGCTCCATGGTAATTTTCCATTGATCAACTCAACCTTCATCAAAGGTTACTTTATTTTGATCATTGTGTCATCACTTATTATAAAATCACCATTCTTATTTTGAAAAAACAAATCGCATCATGTAAAAATAAATTAGCAGCAAGAAATAGATAGGAAAACTACTTCAATTAAAGTGCTATTATATGTATTTCGAAATTATATGCTTAAAAACAATTACTGCAAATACCATGGAATAAAACCATCCAATCAAGTCATCACAAGGACCTGTTTCACGACGTGAATGTACTGCCAAAGATACATAATGAGGTGTACCACGAAAACCAACATGTTTACGCGGTGATCGTGCTCTACCATCAATTTCCATAAACATTCTTGCCATTCCTATCGCATAAAAATTTTAGCCTGACAGAAGAAATGAAAATTTTTAACCCATTTCGTGAATTAAGCTTTACCGTAATCTACGAGATAAATCATACGTCTATTAATGCCTCTACCAATGCACAGGTTTGATGGCTTGATGTCACGGTGCAAGAAACCAAAGCTATGAAGATCGTGTAGTGCACTCATTACCTGAAGGATTTCTAAAATTTATCTTCTCAGAGTCAGAAATTATACAAATTATAACTTGAGATCAATCGAGTTCATTATTATTTCAGTACTAAATTAATTTTCAGTTCAATTTGTAGTTTTAACCTTAACTTGAAATTTATATGCTTCGTCACGTTCATTTCATAGCGACAAAAATTACTAAACTTTTCAACGCATTTAGCAGCCAAATACGGCTTACTTCGTACAATTTCACTTAAAGACTGATTTCAGACTTAATTTATTTTTTTGTTTTAATTTACCTGCATAGATATTCTATAAACTGTAATAGGCTGGAAATGTCTTCCAGGTAAACGTCTTCGTATATCAGAAAGATTATGACCAACAAGTTCCATTATTAGATAAGGTGCTCCACGAATTTGTCCCATGCCAATCAAGGATACAAAATGATTCTAAAATTTGGTTAAAATCAAAGTTGCAAACTTCATACTATTTATCAGAAAAAACATCTTCACGCCACTGCTTCGTAACCACACTACTTTTCAAATTTAGACGCAATAAGCGTAACACTGTTCTAAATTTAGAAAGCTTAGTGCAAACAAAGACTATATTAGATTTTTGAAAGGATTTAGCAAGCATTTTAAATGTATTTTTAAAATAATTATAATTATTGCAATTTATGCTCCATAATTAATTTTTAAATTCAATTCAGATATTGAAATTTTGCATAGTTCTTAAACTGAAAGGAAAAATCTAGAGCAAAACACTATGAATAAGTAGTATTTTGAATAAAAGATTAAAAAATTTAACCTTTCCACGCAAAATAGTAAGAACAATTTGCTCGATTTTCATTCTTCTAGGGTCGATTCTTGATGTTGCAACTTTCACTGCAACCGGTTTACATTTTACCAAGTCATAACCACTATAAAACACACCATGTAGATCAGTTTAGTTCATCAAGTAATAACCACATACTAAAGTGCAAGCATATTTCAAGAAGCTTTGACTTTATTTGATAATGGAACGTAATCTAGTCAGTAAAATTTTCCTTTGAAAATTTCGAATTCACAGAAGTTTCAAAAATTCGATAAACAGGAAGTATTGGTTTTAGCTCGTTCATTCCATTTTTCCATTCATTTAACTTTACGAAAAATATTAAATGTAAGGAAAGCATAAACATTTGGTTTAGTTTAGTGGTCTTGCGCTTGCAATTAAATAGCCTTCCAGTTTCTAGAAATACAGTGAATTCCAAAATCAAGATGAGCTTTTTGAATTTTTTATTACATCAAAAGGTTATAATTTGATGCAATAAAAAAATTATTATTACACTGCCTATATAAACAAAACTAAATTTGTAACTTGAGGTTGATTACAAATTTTTTAAATTTAAAATCATATCTTATGCTTAATGAAGTGATCAGGTCAAGGGACAGTTATATCTTGCTAGGGTATATCGCCTACCGTGGAGTGCTCACTTATTATTAACGGTTGTTAGATGCACGTGCTAATATTCGTGTAAAAAATATTATTAGTGATTGCTCGGCTCTGCCGAGTTGCTGAGCGGTCGAACACATCACGAAGTAGGAAAGGAAAAAATGAAGGATAAACAAAAAAAAAAACCGAGCCTGGGATCATAAATGGAAAAATATCGAAAACAGATGAGGTTGTTGAAGAAAGCTCTGTGAAGACATGGGAAAGCACTCAAACAGTGTGCAGGAACTAGCACAACTGAGTGCTGGATGAGTGCAGCAAGTGTACCATAACACGATCCAACGTGAGAATCAAGAAGACAGGAAAAAACGATTACTCTCTGACCTGCTGCACATGATTCTATGTAGTTATAAGCATCAATGTCTAGCAGTTACATTTTGTCTAGCAGTTATAAGTACTGACACATGATAGTAAATAATCCACCAACATTTTAAATGTACTTACTGTTACTAACTATACAAAAAATTCAAAATAGTTGATTATAGAAATGCAGAGCAAAATACAAGTATCAAAAATATTGATATTAAAAATTTCACTGCATATTAACTACTAACATTGTACTATTGCAACTCACAACTGTCTCAAAGTTTGCTAGAATTATAAAAAAATAACGTAATTAATAAACTGCATAATAAACTGCAGCAAATTTTTCATATTATATAAACTTATAGAGCGGTATCACGCCTCACACGATGCATTCTACTTATAATAATGTATACCGATAAATTTGACTACAGCCACCACGAGCCAATTTACTTTCAACCTTATATCTGCCGCGTAATACTTCATTAGTTTTAAGAAGTTCGCAATTTTCATATTTCCTGTTGCTTTCATTTTCTGAATGGATGAAAGCTAACATAGAAATTACAAAACTTTTGTTAGTGAAATTAATTTCAATTTGATTTTAAAATGTTCAGACTGCGTGATAATTTTAGGACTAAAGTTTTTAACTAAGCACAAATGTGAACGTTTCAAAAAAATCTAGTGTAGGAGCAATTCACCTGATGTAGAAACTTGTGTTGCTGCACTACATAATTCTGAAGCATGCAGTGGAGAAGAAGAAAACTTCCGTGATATCGAAGTTACTTTGCTCGCGGATTGCGTATGTTCAACGAGTTCCATATTTCACAGATTCTGCATTAGTTGAACATTTTAACGTTCCAGCTGAGTGCTTCACTTTTCAAATGAATTTGCTGATGGAGTTTTGGTGAAAGGAAAAAGTGAGAACTATTTAGTTCAGTTACTGCCAACAAAATGTGAATTTTATTCCGTAATTCACAGTTTAAATAATAGATTACATATTAAGTGATGCAAATTATCCATTCATATGGAGAAAATGGTAGTACTCTGATTTTTTTAAAAATTACATTCATAATTATCCAACGACAAAAACACAATTAAAATTCACAACTGACTAAACTGTAATTCATTAATCATAACACTGTTGAATTTTTATTCTGAACCATTCTTTACTCACAAAATTTGTTGTTTAAGAAAAGTGAAATGTATTCGTATCTCGGTGACGTGATGATTAGGTTTGGGAAGTGAATCATTATGCTACCAAATAAATACTGCATTCTGTGATGAAAATTTTTTCTCATTTTTCCATAAATTTAAGAATTAATTTGCATGTTGATGGGGATTTCCACATATAAGATAGTGAGAAGATTATGAGCTTAGTATGTTGTTTAAAGGTCTGTTTTGGACTGCTCTGCATTTAAGTATAGCTGTAACGTAAGCAATTTGAATGAAAGTCATGTAAAATCCTCAGATGCATACGAAAATTCATGTGGGAATTGCGTGAGGATAATTTGTTACAGTAATTTTTAATAATTATTATTGAGAACTTGGTGATTTTTGTAAATGTTATGTAAGATCAATTAATAACAAACCGAGCAAAATTATTTTGATATACAATGAAAGAAAGGTATGATAATTTCAAGTTTGTAGAAAGTATTAAACTATTAAGAAAAATTATCGAAAAGGATTTTCAGAAAATAATTTGAATATCCAAATTTCGTCCGATACTCATGGCAAAGAACAACAGTAGACAATGTAATGAGGAGATAAAACGAAAATGTATAAAGAGGTCGAAAGAAAATGCAGAAGAGGCAAGAGTTAAAATAGACAAGACAGAAGAGAAGAGAAGAGAAAAAAAATATGAAGTAGAAAAGCTATATAGGCAAGGGAATTCAGCAAAAAACATGGCTAGTGAAACATCAGAGATCAATGAAGAAACAAAAACATATGTGGAAAACACCATGGATGAAGAGAAATGGAGAAACAATGAGAGAGCAACAGAATCAATGAATGAGAGAAAACAAAGTTTCATTGAGAGAAAAAAGTTGGATAAGATTAGGAGAGGCGAGGAAGAAAATGAAACAAGAGAATCAAGAACAAGTGATAGAGGAGATGAGGTAACGAGAGTATACAAAAAAATGGATGGTACTAAAAAAGGTAGAAATAAAGAATACGATGTATCACAACATAGGGAGGAGGTAAAAGTAGAAAGCATGATGGAGAGAGAGAAATTAGAAGACATAACGGAGTGTGTGAACTTCGAAATGAACAATGAGCTGGCCAAGCGAGGCATCAAGTTCGTACAAGAGCTCGGTGAGCGTGACTTGCTCCTTATCAGTTTGCAGGACTTGAGGGGTTGACGTCGGGAAATGTGGAACAGAAGTAAATAATAACGTTATTAATAATATAGGATTAGAGCAAGCGCAGCTGTTAACATAATTTATCAATTACAATTAACGTACTTCTAATCACCATGACTTTTTCGTTTTATCTCTTCACTACATGCAACAGGTCAAGATAATCATAAATGGATATTAGTTTGCAGAATTTGAATTAACTTTCATTATAATTATGAAAATAAGTAATAGGTGTAAGTGATTTACACTTTTTCATCTCTAATTCTTATTTTTTTGGGAAAGAACAAGGGTTACAATGTTACATTTTCTTGAACTGCCTGTCTAACAGTTACTACATACTATAGGTAAAGGAACATTTTCCGTCGTCAAGAAAGGATGGTGTGGAGCATTGAACATAACGGTTGCGATTAAAATTATTGATATCAGGTTAACACCTTTTACCTGGCATTTAAGTTTACTGATAAAAACTAAATCAGAAGCTTGTTGCATCATTTTTAGTTCAGCTAGTTGTGAAATAGTATATGCCCATCATTCAATATTACACGTAGGTCAAACTTCTTTTCTGCGTTATTGATTCAGGTGCCGAATGGTGCTCTCCATTCTCTCTGGCCCCGCGCTCAGTTCCGCTGTGCTGGTCTCCGTTGCTTCGTCTTTGTTGAATACGAGGTGTTTATCGAATAAGATGCTTTCGAGCGTCTTCTTGAACACTGTCGATTGGATACTTGCCCTGAAATGATCAAATATACTGATTTCCATGTTTGTGGAAGTTCGTTATAATCTATCCAAAGTCATCACATACGGAATCATTTTGGTCCTGCGTTTCATCTCTGACTCAAGCTTATTAGAAAGCAGGTCATATTTTCGCTTTTTCTCTGTCTCGACTGCTGTTAGCCTGCCCTGATCAGTAGTAATGTCAACCTCTAACAGGATTATTTCACGTAGCTTCGTATCGTATACCAGAATGTCCGGTCAATACACTCTTATTCTAATTTCAATTCTTACTTGCGTAGCGACTCTGATTTTATGTAGCGTATTTTCCTCGAAGTAGGTGTCAAGTATCTTTTCACGCTCTACTTCCTCCTGGACTTGTAATACTAGTGATCGCAGTATTCGCTGGCTTTTTCAGTTCTTTAGAAGCTTATTGCACAAGGAACTTCTCGCATTACATAGGGGTCATTTTTATCTCGGCATCCTCCCGAAATGGTCAAGAACTGCCTTCAGCACTTCTCTTGGCCAGCTGCTCTGCGGGACTTCAATTTCTCGAATTAGTACTTTGAGTGTAATCATCATGCTGGTTCCCGCACACTAGCGGAGTGCTCTGTCACATCCTTCACGGAGCTTTTGACAATTTCGTTCGTTTCCTCTCAGATGCGGTTTCTTTCCGTTTATCTTCCATTTTCATGTCAGACCTTTTATATCGTGTAAAATCGACACACCATTCTTCTCTGGGGCTTCCAGTTTTTTTGGCAATTCTGTTCTTCCTCTGTGCTCATCCCTTCGTATCGTCCTTCGTTACTCTTTTTCCTTGTTTCGTTTTCGTTCCGTCAGAAGTATTGCAATAAGTTATGGTCCATTACTTCTTTTCATTTTCCGGAAGTCGCCTGTAAAGTGGAAAGCTCTTCAGAAATACGTTGTTGGCCACTAGACTACTGATCTGGTTTATTGCTGGTATGTTTTGTCGTATTGTTACCGTTTCCACCGTTCTGGCCTTTTGACTTTCGGTAACGTTGCTTTTGTTGTGGCAGTTGATCGAAATGCTATAATTTCTTAATAGCGTCATAATAATGTCTCCATAGCAGATGAATAGAATAAAAAAGAAAAGATGAAGGTTAGTCTTATTTTGCGTTTTGTTGATTGTGGTGCTGGATCGTATTCCGGCACTCGGGCTGTACTTGTACTGATTTCTTCACTTCATCCTCATCAAATCCACAACGCTGATCAAATGAGATGCTTCCGAACGTCTTTTTGAGCACTATTGATTGAATATGTGCTTCGACTTGATCAGATATACTGATCTCCTACACATAGCATTAATGCAAGTTTGGATGGGATATCCCAAGTCATCACATACGGAATTATTTTGGTCCTGTATTTCATCTCTGATCCAAGTTTATTAGCCAGTAGGTTTCGCTTTTTCTCTGTCTCGACTGCTGTTAGTTTGCCCTGACCAGTAATGCCAACTTCTACCAGCAGTACTTCGTATCACTTCTCATCGTACACCAGGATGTCCGATCGGTTCGCTTTTATTCTAATTGCTGTTCTCGCGTATGGACTCTGATCTCCACGTTCTCACTTGCAACGACCTCCTGAACAAAATGGCTCCCATTGTATGACCTCATTGTGTCTGCTAGTATAGTCGTGATGTAACATTTTTTCGCACTGCGTTGCTAAATGGTGCACCGTCTTCACACGTTTCCCACAATGTTGGCACATACCTTTCTCCGCCCTAAACATATTTTATACTACATTATATATATATATATATATATAATGTGTAACAGGTCAGAGGTTAATATTCTTTCCTGTCATCTTGATCCTCACATTGGATCGTATTTGGGCACTCTAACTGTGCTCACCAAATACTCAGTTCTGTTGGTTCCTGTACACTGGCATTTATGATTCCATGCTCTGTATTTTCCGTTTCTCCACCATTTCCTGCTTTGTGATGCAATCGAATAGCTGGCAGCTCAACCGCTCGGCAACTCGGCAGAGCCATTTATTTATTTACGTTTATATATAATTGATATAGTGGAGTACATTGATACACATTCAGTGTATTGTAAATTATGAGTTACTAATTTACGTCGTGTCAGGTTGCATAAGATTTGAAAGTGTCGAATATTTTCAAAGTAACAGTACTTCAGAAAGGATGTCAAGTATACGAAAAAATGTTTACCTCGTGAGATCGATATTGTACGCAAATTACAACATGCAAATATCATCAAAGTTCATGAAGTTATCATTTCTTTTACTTCACATCAAAATGCAATCTGTTTTTACATATTAAAGTTTATTTTGAGTCAATTTTATTGGTTATCGGCGCGTCGTATCATTTTTCTTCCTGAGGTGGACATTTAGGTCATTGAAAAGTACCCATTCGTTTGCATTGTTCAAGATTATACTGACAAAGGTGACTTGTTGCGCAAAATAAGACGCTTGAAAAAAGTTAATGAAAGAGAAGGAAAGCTTCATTTCCGACAACTCCTTGAAGCTATGAAGGTAATGAATTGGTAGAATTTTCAGTTCAATATTTCTGGTAAATTCAGTAGACATGTCAGTGCGGCGGTACGCCTGATGAATATGCTTCATAACTTCTGATAAGCTGAACGTATCTGTTGCATGAGTATATGAGAAAGGTTAATTAGAAATGCAGTACATTGCTGGTCTATGAATACAGTATATAGTGGTGATCTGGGCTGCAATTACAATTCAAGTAGAAGCCATTTTATGTGGTGCACGCAATATTTTCGATGAATGAACAAGGCAATTTTATAGTATTTGAAAATGATGGAAGTAGTTCATCGTGATATCAAGTGTGAAAATATATTATTGGATTCATGTGAAAATATTAAGATCACCGATTTTGGATTTGCCCGTTTATTAAAAATAGGTGAAAAGTCAAGGACATTTTGCGGCTCTCGTGCATATTTGGCTCCCGAAATTATTCGGTATCTACTACACTCTTCATATATAATTCATACTTGAAGTTAGCTGGCTCTTTTTGTTCCTACACAGTTAAGGACATGCGATGTTGGAAGGGAAGTTAAAAATACATACTTCAACTGTGAAAGAGATTGATCTGCTCAATATAAATTTTTGTAAACAAAAATGCTGAAATGAATTCTCATTTCAAAAACTCTGATGCTGTTTGATACTATACCAATGTACGTGTAGCGCGCAGCCATACGATGGATTTGTGTCAGATATGTGGAGTGCAGGAATTGTACTGTATGTAATGACCACAGGAATGATGCCTTACGATGACAAAAACGTAAAAAAAATGCTGGAACGTCAGTTGCAGCGCAGGTGATGTTAAGCATGAACTGTTTCACATACTTCAAAGTGAATCTGACAAATCGTTATGATTTTATTGAAATTATTAATGCTCCTAATGCAGTGTAAGAGGAGAAAATAGAAACAGCTTTCTGTTTGAATGTTGTAAAATCCGCTATCTATTTATTATTATTTATAAGTCTTATTATCACAGAAGCTATTCATTATTCTTCAAATAAAATAGTACTGATCAAGTCTTAGCAGCATTTCTATTTTATCTACCAACAATACTGGTGCATTAATTGCATTATGCACAATGTTTTATATCACCCATTATAAATTAATCTGGTCCTTTTTAATTTTGGAAATAACCTAACTGACTGATCATTCTGCCGCAATCGTAATTAGGATTTTAATCGTTCTATCTTTAATAACAAATCCTTGTATCGTTATTTACATCTTGGACTATATTTAGAATAGCATATCCACGATCAATTGTAATCAGCGCTGAGGTTAGACGGTTGATATTTGATATACTGAATCCAATACCTGGAAAAAGACCAACAATAGATGAAGTGATACGTTCCAAATGGCTCGCCGGTGTCCCATATCGTATATTTCTTCAGGCTATCAGTGATTCTATAATTGATTCTGAACAAGTTACGTAAAAGACTTGAAGACCTCACATAAAAGCATGCCGCAGAAATCATAAAATTTTGTTGACAACTTACGATACTCGTTAGAAGACAGGGATTAACTTTATTATAGTAAATTATAGAACAACACTATCTAGCAGTAAAAATTGCCATTTTTCACTACACTTTTTAATATTGAGAAAAGATTGGTGCTCTGCAGAACAAAATTTCTTTACCACAATGATCAATGACAAACTTCCACGTCTATGCATTCTAGTTTGACAACTGATCAAAATTATTCCTATATGTCCACTAGTAACCGTTTAGAAGTGCATTTCTAGTGAATTAAAAAAATTTTAACGTAACACTTGGCAAGACCAATACGAAGCAATTCCTCACTGGGAGTTTAGTAATAAGATACTGGATTAATAGGGGTATTTTATTATCAATGACATCAAGAACAAAAGTATATCCATTGTCACTGAGTTCTCAAGCTGTTGTAAACTTGCGTCATTATTCGTATATGTCTTACTTTGCTGAAAACTACTGCCTTTCCATAGATATCAAAACAGTAAAAGTGATCACTTTCCTGTATTTGTCATGAGAATGCAAGAACCACCCGTGAAAGAATTCAGTTCCATGAGAAAATTTTGTGTGCAATCTTTTAATCGTTTTCTTGTACAGCTTAATATTCAATAGTTTGGGCCTTTCAGAAAACCTCATTCATGAACCTTGACAATAAAATATTTTTCTCAGTAAGTCTGAAACACGGAAAGAAAAAATTCGGCTCTAAGTTCCAATTGGAAGCATCCTACGAATAATTCAGCGTAAAAAAAGTCTAGAATAAATCACACTAGTTAGAAAGGAATCAATACACAATCCACGTAAACTTGGTTACATTAATTACATCACTAAGGAAAATGGACTGCAGACCAGCCCAATGAAAATTTATGTCTCAGTTCAGTTTAATTTTTGATTTCAAATTAGGGATCACAAAGGCAGAAATGCTTCTATGTAGGTTATAAACTGGTAAGGCTAAATGATTTGTTGATTACAATTACGTCATTATGAACTCCAAAAACGAATGTTTACTTTGTAATCAGTCAATTAGTTTGCAAGTCGTACTGGTTACTGTTCTTTTGTTGCTTATCGATACCTGTTTCGTTCTTCACCAGGTGAAATAAATGTTCTGCAGCATGTAACGTATGCAGCACTTTAAACCTGGGAAATGGCTCCAATGACTCAAATAATTTTTCTGTGTAATTTAGACTAATTGCTGCAGGCGAGAAAAGTATGTTTGGTCGAAAGTTGTTCGTTGCTCGTGCTCGCTTGAGTAGCTTATCTCGGCAGACTTCTATATTCAGGTGCGTCTTCTTATTGACTTTGGTGTACTGAGGTGGTTTGTACATTCCATACATTTTTCTCTGAAGTCCTAAGCCATGTACATTTTTAATAAATTTTTCATCTCTGATATTATTTAGTATTCTTTACTGGGAATCTATACATATTCGTAGAAAAAAACGCATATTTTTTCGTTATCAGAATAATGCTTTCATTTCTTGAAAATGAGTAGCATAAAAATATTTTTTACCATTTATCATTTGAGTGAGAAAGTAGTCGAGACTAAAAATATTTGAAAAGTATCAGATACGTTATTACCTGTAAAGTTATTTATTTTGCGAAAACTTATTTTGTGTTTCTTTTCAGTGGCACAGGTGTGACTTCTGAAAAGTTCATGAGAAATGCAGTGAATGAGCCGGTGTTAACCTATCAAAAGGGTAGCGTCGAAAGAATAGCACTTGAAAAAGCAGTTTCTGACATAGCTGGCGCAATAACTAATGTTCCACTAGTCATTGGAAAGGAGAAAATTTTCACAAATCTGTATGAAAATCAAATAATGGTAAATAAGGGAAATTGTGAAATTATAAAGCAGCGAAAACTAGACGTGATTTAATTACAAAGATTTATTTAGTTGCTACTATTTTTTTCAAAGTTAATGGAAAATGCAGTGAACAAATTTGTTACTGAATGTTACTGAGTTAAGAAGATACAGAATAATGATACAGTTCGAATCGGGTGACTTAATGAAGGTTGTTTGCTTGGTTTCCCGTACGTTTATTCATTTATAGCTAGAAGCTTTTGTTTCAGTGCGATGAGCTACTCGTTTTTGTGATTGCCTTTACTGTCAAGTTCGTAAATTCTCAGTTCAAAACAAAATAAAATCAGGCTTTAAGTTACTGCATTAAATATTCTGATAAGAGCTTTATTTCAGCCTTCCGACCATCAGAAAGTTATCGCACGATTTGCACATGCTACTAGTGAACAAATTGAAGAAGCTATTCGAGTCGGTTTAAATGCCAAACAAAAATGGGAGCGCAAGCCATTAAGGTGCCTATTCTTTTGTAGTTGAAGTGATTTGCAAGGTTTTGCGCTTATACTATCAAAGTAGTTAAAATAACATCAGCTCTACGTGAATTACTTATTGCTGCTTAAATCTTGAATTATGGCCCTGTAATTTTTTTAAGAATTATGTATATTTACTTTATTTTGTGTATGACTGATGATTTATTGATAAAAAATATTTAAATTAATGAGTTACAATGTTGTTGCAGTTTAAGTCAAGTAATTTCTAACTTACTTTTTTAAAATCTGCCAACCCTTAAGAATTTTTAAGCACCTGACTTTTTAATTGGGGTCTTCTAGATTCATTTTCATGTCACTTCCATTTTCTTTTTTTGAGGTTGAAGATCTTAAATTAAGTGGGATCAGTGATCAGTTTAATTTTCATTCAAAATAAATTAATTGATATCCATGGTTGTTTCAACAGTCCTGTGCTGTTCCCATGAGCTTAGTCTTCATGTAATGTGTTCCCAGTTCTTGACTAAGCAATCATGAAAATTTTAGATTCAGTTAAATTTGTCATTATCGCTGTTGATTTTTCTAGAGAACGTGCTGATGTATTACTACATGCAGCTGATCTGTGTGCCGGAAAATACCGAATGAAACTAAATGCTGCGACGATGCTTGGGCAAGGAAAGAATATTGTGCAAGCAGAAATCGATTCAGCTTGTGAATTGGTAGATTTCTTCCGATTCAATGCAAAATTTGCTTTAGATGCGGAAAAATATCAACCTATTTCCCTGAAAAATGTGACAAATACTATGATTCTTAGGTTAGTAGTTCATTCGTATTAACCAAGATCTCAAAAATCGTACTCTTACTGGTTAGAATGATTCTTTCATTCAAAATAAGTATCGGGTGTATTCGATCAGAAATATTTTGTAAGAAACATTTATAAATATATAAGCTGTTTTACATGGTTTTTCTAGGAGCCTTGAGGGATTTGTTGCTGCGGTTGCACCATTTAATTTTACAGCAATTAGTGGAAATTTGGCTACAGCTCCCGCATTAATGGTTACTTTTTGTGTAATATGAAAGAAAAATTCAGAATAAATACATGTACTTGAAATAGCCGCAGTTCTCCAATTTACTTAGAGCAGATGAGTTTGAAATTTATTTGTTTCAGGGTAATGCTGTTTTGTGGAAACCTGCATGTACCGCGGTTTTAAGTAATTACTTCATTTATGAGGCTTTGGAAGAAGCTGGTAAGTTGATTATCCTTTAATGCGCTCTTTTCTGATATATCTCAAATTTTGGAATTTTCTGCGAAGTTATTCAATAAGTGCACTAAAAGAGATTTTTCTATCATCCAGAACAGTTTATTTAGGCCTTCCACCTGGAGTCATATCATTTTTGCCATCAAGAGGTCCAGTTTTTGGGGATGCAATCACGTCATCTCCCTTTCTCTCTGCCATAAACTTTACTGGTTCTGTACCAACATTCAAATATTTGTGGAAAAAAGTCGCAGAGAATTTAGACACCTACATTTCATTTCCAAGATTGATAGGAGGTTTGAATTCTTTTTTAATGGGTTTATCAATAAAAAAAATAAAATACTTTTCCTCTTGGGATAATTTTTCTTTTGTAAGTTGTAAGGGCTCAATTTATTTTTCACCTATTATTTTTTTATGGTCCGTGTGCTTAATTAGTTAATCAAAAGACGTTTACGATGTCTGCATTTCTTAAGAAGTTGAGCAGCCTTTTCATATCATCATTTGACTAGCATTTTACCAAGTTCCATTCGTTCAAAAGATGAGATAAAAACCCTAGTGCAGTTATGTTGTCTCAAAAAAAAATTCAGAATGTGGAGGAAAGAATTTTCATTTCATTCATCCGTCAGCGGATCTGGATACTGTTGCACCATGTACTATCCGTGCTGCGTACGAGTATCAGGGACAGAAATGTAGTGCTTGTTCACGAATTTACGTACCGGAAAGTTTGTGGCCTACTTTACAAGCCAAACTTGAATCCATACAAAAAGAAATAAAAGTTGGAGATGTGGGTTTCCTGTTTTAAGGGTGTATGTAATAACTGTTTTAAATGCTGTTTAAAGAAAAAAAAAAGTAGTAATTATGTTATATATAATCTAGCCTTGCTTCCGACTAGTATTCAGTATTTTACCGAATCTCAAGCTATGTATTGTGATTTCGCAGAACTGAAACTAAAAACCTTTAATTTTCGTAGGTTCGTGATGGTTCAGTTTTCATGACAGCTGTTATTGATGAAAAAGCTTTTAAATCAATTCGATCGTATATTGATTATGCCAAAACAGGGAAGGATGGAGCAAAAATAATTTTTGGAGGATCATATGATGACACCAAAGGATATTTCATTCAGCCAACTCTTATACAAGTTGATAATTGGGATTCAAAATTGCTTACAGAGGTACATTTATTTTTTTTACCAGTGTACATCATTGTAGCTCATTGTATTGAATGTTAATATCTTTTTGAACAATCAGGAAGAATGATTGCTTGCAAAAAATTTCAGATTTAAATCTTGTTATTTATATCTTCTAAATCTTGCTTAAGATGTGATGACAATAAAGAACACTTTTCAAAACATTATTTACTCTTACATTTGGAGGGATTTAAATCTATAGAATGAACATACAGTGGTCCCTTTAAATCTTGTGTGGATCATATATTTTGTTGCGATTAATGATAAAATGAAACATGTATATATATATATATATATATATATATATATATATA